TTATTATTATTATAATCATCATTATTATTGCTCTCGTTATAAATCCTTATGATTATTCTATTATCAGTATTATCATTATTACTATCATTATTATTATTATTATCACTATTATTATCATTATTATTGTTATTGTTATTATTATTTTCGTTATTATTTTTATTATCATTATTATTATTATTAGCATTAGCCATAATCGTAGTAGTGATATCATTATTATCATTATCATCATCATCATAATAATGATAGTAATGATGATAATGATAATGATCATAATGATAATGATAATAGTAATAATGAAAATAATAATAATAATGATAGTAATAATGATAATGATAATAATAATAACTATTATAATAACAACAATGATGGTAATAATAATTTTTATTATAATGATATGGATGATAACAATAATAAATAATAACAATAATAAAGATGATGATGATGAGGGTAATGATAAGAATAATGTTAATCATAATGGTAGCGATAATGATAATGATGATGATAATAATAAATAATAATAATAATAATGATAATAATAATAATCAAGATAAAAATTATAATGATAAGTATAATTATAATTATGATGATGGTGATGATAATGATAATTATAATAATAGTTATGGTAATAACAATGATAAAAGTTATAATAACAATAATAATGATAATAAAAATTATGATAATGATAATTAAACAATTATGATGATGATGATGATAATTATAACAATAATAACAATAGTGATGTTGAGGATGTGGATGATGGTAACAATAATTGATTGACGGTAATTATTATAATTATACTAATGATGGCATGATGACAATAATAATCATCATCTTTAAATAATAGTAATGATATCAGAAATAAAAATGATAAACATAATGACAGTACCGATATTGATAATAATAACAATAACAAACATGATAATGATGATCACAATGAAATTATGATTTTGATAATTCAGTTATTAGCAACATAAATATCATTATACATTATGATCTCTTTATTGTCATCATTATAGATTTTTCATCATCATTATCATTGTTTATTACCATTACTATTATAATCATTTCGTCACTAAAAACGTCATTATCACTACTGCCATTGTCACCACGGTTTTTCTCATTCCCTAACACAACACAAAGCGATTATAGCAGACTATATACATTCTATATATTCTATAAGCATGAGACCACGTGGCTTGGACCTAAAGCATATTTAGCATCCATAGCATAGCGCACTACAGCGGCCCACAACCCATCGCGACGCCCACCAGAATGGACTGCTGGATCTCGGTCCTTCCCATGAGGTAGCACACCAGCAGGAGGGGCGTGACGATGATGGCGGTGACCAGGACGCCGCACACGAAGAAGTCGGCGTCGGGCGTGGCGTTCACGCTGACGCCGCCGCTCCTCAGGATCCGAAGGCGATCACACGAAGACCTGCGGACGAGGGAGAGAAGGGGGGGGGGGCTGAGTGCGTTTCGGGAACTTTTGCTTTCCGCGTCTCTCTCTCTCTCTCTCTCTCTCTCTCTCTCTCTCTCTCTCTCTCTCTCTCTCTCTCTTCTTCTCTCTCTCTCTCTCTCTCTCTCTTTCTCCTCTCCTCTCTTCTCTCTCTCTTTCGTTCTTCTCTTCTCTCTCTGGTTCCTCTCTTCTCCTCTCTGTCTCTTCTTTTCTCTCCTCTCCTTCTCTTCCTCCTCCTTCTCCTCTCCTCTCCTCTTTCGTCCCTCATCTCTCCTCCTCCTTCCATCATCTACTCTCTCTCATCCTCATAATTAGCTCTCCGCGCTCTCTCCCACCCTCTTGTCTCTCTCTCCGAGGCATCTCTCCTCTCTCTCCCTCCAATCCTCATCATTCTTCTCAGGGTCTGTCTCTTCTCTCTCACATCTCTCTCACTCTCTCAAGATTACATATCTATCTATTTCTATTATCTATTAATCTATTGCCTATCTCATCTATCACTATCTAATCATCTATCTCTCGCTCTTCCTTCACTCTTCTTCTTCTGTCTGTCTTCTATCGTCTTTCTTCCAAGTCTCCCTCTACTCTGACTCCCCTCGTCGCTTCATCCTCTTCCAATTATGCCCCCACGTCCCTCCCACTAACGGCTCCCGTCTTCACTCTCCCTCTCGGGTCTCAGGCGAAACCTCTCCCTCGTCTCTAAGCCCTCTTCCCCCTCTTCCTCTTCTCTCTGCTCTCTGCTCTCTCTCTCTCCTTGTTTCCTCTCTTCNAAACGACTGCTGACAAAATGATACTACCCCCTGTTTCGGATACTGTGCATGACACATACATGACAAAACTAATACCGATACCCAGGCAGCGTGTAGCGAGAGCTGTACAGTCCAAGGCATGTAATCTGGTGCATGACGAAAGGTATAGTACAAGGGTCGAGGTACGTGAGCTCGTGCTTTTGGTACTGTCGTGCATGATTCTCCTGTCGTGCATGATTCTCTTGTCGTGCATGATGGCGAGGGCATGATGAATTCCAAGCACGGCATCCAGGCATCGTTTAGCACTGCAGGGTTGTCTGTGTTCTGCCGCTGTGGACGCTCCGTGCTGGACAAATGGCTTGGCGCTCGCTGCTACGGCCGGCCGGTGTGGCAGAGATTCGTTAGTTTGTTTGTCTGTTTGTTCGGTTCAGTTGTTTATTTGTGAGGTGTTTCATTGTTTTTTTTTTTTAGGTGGATTTTGTTATTTTTTCGTGGGTTTGTTTAATTGTTTCTATGTATTTGTTTGTTTATTTGCTTTGTAAATTATTTTTTTGCTTTTTTTCTTATTTTTTTTTTAAATTTCTTTATTTATTCATTTACCTATTCATCAGCTTATCTATTTTCGTGTTCATTAATTTGCATATTTGTTTATTCTTTCTTTTTATATTTTCATCTGTTTATCCATTTCTTTGTATGCGTTTAGCCCACAATGTTCATTATCATTACAAACACTTTATCCCCCTATTAATAAAGAACCCACACTTCCAATCGATTATTAATCACATCCCATTGCCCAAAAAATTGACACAAATATCCATCCCATTGCAAACTTCCGCCACCACGGACCTGTGCTTGCAAATGCTACTGTGCCAGTTGCAATCACGCATTATCTACGCATTTTGTCCCGGACGCCTGCCTGTTGTACGCTCTGCCGCTGTTGCAACAAGCTACCTGGTCCGTTGCATGCATTCATTATATATATCGCACGCTGGTTGCTGTCTTGCAACACGCGTCGTCTCCTTCTTCACTCTGATTAGTATTGCTGGCGCTGCATGTTGATTCACGCTATCATTAATTCATGCTGCGAAGAAATGAGAGAGAGAGAGAGAGAGAGAGGGGGGAGGAAGAGGAGAGAGAGAGTGAGAGGAGAGAGAAGAGAGAGAGAGAGAGAGAGAGAGGAGAGAGAGAGAGAGAAGAGAGAGAGAGAGAGAGAGAGAGAGGGAGAGAGGAGAGAGAAGAGAGAAAGAGAGAGAGAGAGAGAGAGAGAGAGAGAGAAGAGAGAGAGAGAGAGAGAGAGAGAGAGAGAGAGAAGAGAGAGAGAGAGAGAGAGAGAGAGAGAGAGGGGGGGGAGAGAGAGGGGGAGAGAGATTGGGTAAAATAGTAAGTTGATATATATATATATATATATATATATATATATATATATATATATATATATATATATATATATATATAATATAGTATGTATATACATATATATATATATATATATATATATATATATATATATATATATATATTATATATATATATATATATATATATATATATATATATATATATATATATATATATAATATATATAAATACATACAAACTCATGTATATATATAAGAAAATCAAAGACTAAAACAGAATTCGTTGCATATAGAGAATACTGAAGTTTCCCACACAGCAAAATAAAGACAAACATTTACACGCCTGAGTGGATACATTAAAGTGTTAATACTTAGAAGGCACACAGGGAAATCACCCTTATGATAAACTACTGCAGCTATTATTGCTCTCAAAAAGTGTAGGAAAATCTTATGAACTTATTTTTCATGGCAATATCCGGATCCTTAAAAAAGAAAATTAAGAAAAAAGAAAGAAAGAATTTATGTATGTATTTATTAATTTATTTATGTATGTATTTATTTATTCATTTATTTATGTATGTATTTATTTATTATTTATTTTATGTATTTATTATTCATTTATTTATGTATGTATTTATTTTTTCATTTATTTATGTACGTATTTATTAATTGATTAATTTTATAAAGCATTTATTTATTTATTTATTTATTTATTTTTCATAAAGGATGGCTGAATTTATGTATGACTTTATTTATTCACCTATTCATTTTTTTTTTTTTTTATAAAGGATGTCTGAATTTTGATTTCCATGGCCCCCAGTATGTGTCATTTTCTCCGTTTTCTTTTTGCTTTCAGGTGTGACTCCTTTGTGGGGAGACTATAGAAAAAAGGTCTTTAGTTTTCCTTTTCCTGTATTTCTGTTTTATCTATGTATATGTTGATATCTATTCAGCTATGTATATATGTATCTATCTTCTTATATCTGTCTATCTATATCTTTATCTATATCTATCCATGTATCCATCTTTCTATTTATCTATCTATCGATCGATCTATCTATCTATACATACATATATACATATATAAATAAATAGATAAATAGATAAATAAATGAATAAATAAATAAATATGTGTGTGTGTGTTTGCGTGTGTGTTTGTGTGTGTGTGTGTGTGTGTGTATGTGTGTGTGTGTATGTGTGTGCGTATGTATTTATGTATGTATGTGTATGTGTACTTATATATTTATGTATATATATATGTATGTATGTATGTATGTATGGATGCATGTATGTATGTATGTATATATATATATGTATGCATGTATGTATCAAAGTGCAAGTGCGTATGTGTGTGTGTGTGAGTTCTGCGCTTGTGTGCGTGCGCGGGTCAGCCTTCAACCACATCCCGCCCAGACTCACGGCTAATCAACAGTAACTCTGCAATAACAATGATGATCCTTATTATTTTAGTGCTAATGACACTCTTGGAATCGGCGGTGGCCATAAATCCTGTTTGAGATAGCGGCTGAAGCGACGTAGATTACTGTTGTTATTCCTTTTTCCCTTTTTTTAATGTGTTTTCCTTTTTCATTTGTTTTATTTTGTTTTATTTTTTTTCGTTTTGGTGTATTTTCCTTTTTTTAATTATTTTATTTTATTTTCCTTTTTTTCTTCTTTTTTTCGTTTTGATGTATTTTTCTTTTTTCATGATTTTTATTTTATTTTCCTTTTTTTCTTCTTTTTTTTCGTTTTGATGTATTTTCCCTTTTCCTTGTTTATTTTTTTTCCTTTTTTTCGTTTCGATGTATTTTCCTGTTTCATTATTTTTTTAATTTGATTTTCCTTCTGTTTTTTCTTCATTTTTCGTTTTGATGTATTTTCCTTTTTCATAATTTTTATTTTATTTTATTTATTTTTTCTTCTTTTTTCGTGTTGATGTATTTTTCCTTTTTCATTATTTTTATCTTATTTTCCTTCATTTTTTTCTTTTCTTTCCTTGGTAGATTTTTTTGCCTTCTATTCTTCTGATTATTATTATTTTTTCTCTCTCTTCGTTCTTTTGTTAATTTTAATCCAATTTCCTCTTATTTACTTTTTATTTTGTTATGCTTTCTTTTTTGTTTTGTTTGTTTAGTTTACCTTTCTTTATCTTTTTGTTCGTTTTTCAATTTTTTTCTTTTTTTACCGCATTTTCCATGTTCTCCCTCCCTCCCCCTCCCCCTTTTCGCTCCTCTTTCTTTCATTCGTTTTAATTTTTCTCTCTTTCTCACACTAGAATTATAACATTAACAAAACAGATATGAATCATCAGGTAAGAATAAAGAAAAGGAAACGACTGACGTTTATTATTATGAACAACAGACGCCCATTAGTCTGTCTGATTGAGGAGGGGAGGGAGGGAAGGGAGGTTGGGAGGGGAGGGGGGGGGGAGGAAGGGGAAGGGGAGAGGAGGAAGGGGAAATGGCGTGAGAGGGGGAGAGGAGGAGAAGGGGGAGGAGGGGAGAGAGGGGTGATTGGAAGAAGGGGAAGGGGAGAGGAGGGGGAGGAGGAGGAGGGACAACGAGAGGAAGAGTAGGAGGAAGAGGAGAAGGGGAGAAGGAGGAAGAGAACGAGGAGAAGGAGGAGGAGGAGGAGAAAAGGGAGGGGAGAAGAGGAGAGGAGGAGGAGGAGAGGAGGAGGAGGAGGAGGAATAGGAGGAGGAGGAGGGGGAAGAAGAAGGAGGAGGGGGAGGAGGAGGAGGAAGGAGGAGGAGGAGAGAAGAGAGGAGGCGGAGGAAAAGGGGAGGAGGAGGAGGAGCAGGAAGAGAAGAGGAAAGAGGGGCTTATTGATGAAGTGAAGGACTTTAGATGTGAAGGGAGAAGGAAAAGGAAAAGGGAAATGAAAAGGGATTGAAAGGAGGGCGAAGAGAAAAAAAGGAAAAAAGTAGTGAAAAGAAAAAGTAGTGATAATAAAGACAACACGACATACAAACCAACAAACGTCCCCCTACCCCCTTACCCCACCCCCCAACCCCCCATAAACAACAAACACCCCACCCCACTCCCCCTCAGCCACCCCATCAGAACCCGATAAAACAACCCTCCCCTTTACCCTATACCCATCCCCACCCCCACCACCCCCTACCCCCAACCCAACCCCACCCCCACTCCCAAAACCTATCCCCACCCCTCACCCTTCCACCCACGCCCACACGCCCGTAATCCCCTTGTCTATAGCGAGGTGCCGTAACAAGGGGTAGGGCGTAGGTAAAAGACCTATAAAGATGATACCAGTCTTAGAGGTCTTAGACAAACAGGAGTATAAGTCTTAGGGGGGGGCGGGAGGAGGGGGGTAGAGGAGAGGAGGTCTTAGAGCTTAGACAAGCAGGAAGGGGGGGGGGGTTGAAGTCTTGAAGGAGGAGTCTGGGGGGGGGGAAAGGAGTCTTTGGAGGGGGGGTTGAAGGAAGAGAAGGAGGAGTCTTGGGGGGGGGAAGGAGGAGTCTTGGGGGGTGAAGGAGGAGTCTTGAGTCGAAGGAGAGTCTTGGGGGGGGGGGGTTGAAGGAGGAGATCTTGGGGGGGGGGTAGAGGAGAGGGGGCGAGGTCTTGCAGAAGTCTTGGGGGGGGGAGTTGAAGGAGGACTTGGGGGGGGTAGAGGAGGGGAGGGTCTTAGAGGTCTTAGACAAGCAGAAGTCTTGGGGGGGGTCTTAAAGGACGTGATGGGAGGGGGGGGGAGGGGGGGGAAGAAGGAAGGGGCAGGAGCGGAGGAGAGGAGGAGAGAAATGGGGAAGAAAGGAGGAAGAGGAGGAAAGGAAAGGGGAGAAAAGAGAAAGAAGAGAGGAGGGAGAAGAATGGAAGAGGAGAAGGAGGAAGGAGGAAAGAAATGGGGAAAAAGGAGGAAGAGGAGGAAAGAATGGAGAGAAAGGAGAAGAAGAGGAGGAGGAGAGGAATAAAAGGAGGAGG